CGAGGGTTCGCGCTCGCAAACAACCACATAGAAGTCACACCAGGTTTGATCCTCAATGATATCCAAAAAGTAGTCGATGAAGAAGTCGACCGCATTATCTTAAGTCGCCGAATAGCCACTGTTGGACGAGCTTCTGTTTCAGCCGTCATCGTCGAGAGGTCGAATGGAAGTTTCCTTTTCGCATCAGCAGTCCTCAAGGAACTGTGGCACATCAAAGACACAGGCGCTAACTCAGTCTTTACACTTGTTACAAGTTGTCCCCCAACCATGGAAGCGATATATCAACAAGACATGGACCGCATTCAGAATGATCGCAACGATTTGTTTCAGTTGATTCTGATTATCTGCATAGCAAGGTCGACCTTGAGAATAGAAGAGGCCAAGGAGATCCTTCGGTTTCTAAATCCCTCGGTAACAAGGACTTACGATCTTGTCGGCGATTTGACAAGAACTTGCCAGCGACTGATTAGATTTGGCGCCGAGGACACTCTCGAACTTTTGCATCAGACTCTTTACGACTTTATTCTCGACACCTATGATGTCAACCTCGTACATCAAACCCTCGCAACCGCATGCCTCAACTACGTCAGGGAGATAGACTGGGAATCTTACTACGACCCATGGACAGACTACTGTAAAGATGCTCTTGCAGATCAATATGTATTTCTGGAATACTCTTCGGCTTGGTTTAGGTATCATTTGAAGTTCTTTGGGCCAGATACCTACAAAATATCTCAGGATTTATGGGAGTTCATCCGCTCCCCAGCTGGGGAAAAGTGGCGATATTACACGTTCCAGAAACGTACTTGGGGATCCAGAAGTCCATCGCCAACACGATCGCCTGCGTTATTCAGGGCTCAGACACCGAGTCCTTCTAGGTCTAGGAGTAGGTCCTCGAATGGGTCCAGGACTCGATCGCCCCCTGCAATAGAACGCCCACAGACCCCTTCCTCAGCTATTGGCAAGGAGAATGAAGACGAAGCCGAAGCTGGATACCTATCGGACGGCACAGACGATAGTGTGAGTACATGTGACTCTGACGGATCTAGAGGCCGTGGGCGATTGATCACCACGGATCAAACTTCCACTCGATCAGCAAAACCACCCTTGGTGTTGCTCGCTCAATGGGACGCGGATCTTGTAATCAAAGAGATCTTCTCTCAGGCCCTAGAACTTACCCCAAACCGCTTCCTCCACAAAATCCATGATCTTCTCGTTCATATTTCCCCAAAATCAAAGCAACAGGTTGAAGAAGACCTAGAGACACTAGTCAACAACATATGGGAGGGCACTACGGCAATACACTATGCTGCAGCCCAGCCGGGGGCAGCTTTGGAGGTGCTTCTGCCTTTCGCAAGGAATTTAGACCTGCCAGATAATGACGGGTCAACACCTCTGATCCTTGCCGCAGTCCGTGGCCATTGCCGGAGCGTACAGGCTCTTCTCAAGGCCGGCGCCAAGATAGATGCTGTTGATCCATGGAACCAAACGGCATTGTTCACTGCGGTTGATGTTGGCGCAGTGGATGTTGTTCGAACACTTCTTGAGTTTGGGGCGGATCCCAACATTTCATCTATCAACGGTCATTCACCACTTGCACTTGCTACAGGGAAGAATAGTTCTGAAATGGTCGAACTATTATTGGAGTTCTCAGCGGACCTTGACGCTCCTGCATTCGATGGAAAACCTATACCTTTCTTAGCTAGCTGGATGGCGAGTACTGATGCCCTCGAGATTCTGGTACCACATATCGACGTGGATCAAGTTTGGCGAAATGAGCGCTTGATTCACATGGCATGCTTCAAGGGATGGAAAGGGGTTGTTGATAAGCTTGTCGAGAAGCATGCGAACCTCGATGATCCTCCCAGAGATCTGCCAAAAGCTTCACCAGTGGCTCTGGCCGTTGAGTCGGGCCACAGCGATGTTTTGAGAACGCTTTTGGCTGCGGGTGCTGCAGTCGAGTGCCCCGTGAAGGGGATGAGCTCTCCCCTACACATAGCAGTGGCGGCTCAGAATTTATTGGGCTGTGAGCTGCTTCTTGATGCTGGATGCCAAGTCAACGCAGAAGACAAGGATGGAAGCACGGCCCTTTCAATAGCGGCAGATCTAAATGATCTCGACATGGTCGAATGCCTTGTCTCGCACGGAGCTGATTCCAGTAAACCGGATTATGAAACACCCCTTCATATTGCCGTGGACTGGGGAAACCTTGAGATGGTCGAAATTATTCTTTCGAGCCGGTTCTTTTCCGATATAGACGCGAAAGGAGAAAAGGAATACACTGCTCTTGGTATTGCAGCGACAACTGGGAGATTGGGCATCGTCAGTATGCTTCTTGATCATGGAGCAGATCCAAATATACGGAATGGGCAGCATAACTCAAGCGCTCCACTACACCTTGCAGCCAACAAAGGTCATCGAGGTATCGTGATAGAACTCCTGAAGCGGGGAGCAGATCCTTACCCAGAAACTACCAAAGAATCCAGTGCCTTTCATGCTGCTTGTATAGGGGGCTGGTTGGATGTGATAGAAACTTTCTTGGAGGTTGTCGATGATGTTTCCGAGTTGGTCAACTTCGAATGGGGCTGGGCAGGAACCCCTCTAAAAGCAGCGGCATCAGGTGGGAGACTGGATGCAGTGAAGTTACTTCTCAGTAAGGGCGCCGACCCAAACAAACAGCTGCAATCCAAGATCAATAGGGGCCAGACTGTCATCCATGCCGCTGCAGAGGGAGGTAATACCCAGGTTTTGGAAGTTATCCTTGACGCAGTCGATGATTCGTCACTTGAGATACGTGATAGAGCTCAGAGGACACCGCTCTGGTACGCTTGCGTGGAAGGACATGAGGACATGGTCAAGTATCTACTTGAACGAGGAGCGTCAACAGATGTCATCTTTGATGATGGAGAAAACATCATACCCACCATTGTGTCTGGAGGATCTGAGAAGAATTTGAAACTCGTATTGGAGAAGAATCCCAGCCTTGACACCGATTGCATCTTAGCGGATGGCGAGACCCCATTATTCAAGGCGGTTTATTCTGGCTACGGCAAGATTGTGTCAATCCTCTTGGAACGTGGTGCAGACGTGAACAGGAGATCGAAATATGGAAACGTTCCAGTCTTTGGGGCGATCACCAATCGTCAGAATGAGACTTTACGGATTCTTCTCGAGCATGAGTCCATCGATCTGACTCAACGAGACTCCTTCGACCGGACTGCGCTTCAGATAGCACAGCAATCGGGAACACGCTTGATGCCTGTCATGGTGTTAGGTTCTGCCAAAGACTCGGATGTAGAGAGGATACTTACCGAGAACCGAGACATGTATGGGCTTAACGCTTATGACCTGACCAGACCAGAAGCCAACAATCCAGTACCATTCGATCGCTGTGTCGAAGGTGTACGTCGGGACGCCCAAAGCCTATTGGATGATTTTGACCTTTACGGGGTAAGATGGGAGCGCCTTGGCAAGTTTCTGCTCCAGCTTGGGTCGTACAGTTTCGCCCAAGTTGCTCTGCAAAGAAGTGCTCGAGCTGTAGAGACAAACCCCTTAGTTTTGAAGCATGACAACTACTGTGATATGTGTCTTGACACAATTGCAGGCCCTCGTTATGTTTGTTGCACATGCTGCACAGTCGACCTCTGCGAATTGTGTGTCAGACAGGACAAGAAGCCGGGAAATCGTACTTGGACCTGCGATTATCACACCTTTCTTGCTATTTACTTGCCCAAGATTCAGGCCCCAGACATAATGTTGAGGACTGAGGTTGACTTCCACATACCAACGCGGCTGTCTCCCATCGAAGAGGTAGCATCTGAAACTAGCCAAGGGTGGACGGAAGCAGATGGCAATGAACCTTTTCGGCAGCCTCCATGTCCGCAGGATGATGAGGATGCCCAGGATAGCGTTTCTCTATCCTCAGGTGACACTCCAAACAGCCATACAATGGCAATCGAACCTCTCACCACACATTCCTCGACGGCAGTGACCAGCTATTCTTTCGATGATGGTGGACTCCCAGATAAAGCGACTAGCGATAGCAGTGCGGTAGCAAAGGAAGAGTGGTCAGACAGAACAAAGGACGAGCTTCGAGAGTTTCTTGAAGCAGTTCTCAAAACTTTCACTGCCTACCAGACGCCGAATGGAATATCCAAATGGAGCTTTTCGGTCGATGGGTGGACTTTGAGATATAAAGATGATGCTCTGAAATCCTCATGGGTGGAAGGGGATGAGAATGCGAGGCTTATCCAGCCTGTACGAGAGTGGACGTCGCTTCAGCCGTTGACAGAGGCATACTATTACCTGTCAGGGCTTTCGTATCTCATGGCAGACGTACCACTGTACCTAGTTGCAACTGGACTAGCGTTCCACGGGTATCAAGATGAAGCCTTGAAAAGAAGGAGGAGGCTGCAGCGGCTGCATCATAAGGTGATATTTCCTGTTAAGCGTTACGGGGAGGTCGTAGTGTGAGGAGAGAGGATCAAGACGACGAAGCCAAACAGAAAAGAAGCCGCAGAAGCAGCATATCGATTGGATGGTGTTTGGTGGCATGAAAGAACCTAGGGCTACTGGTATGGTCACGCTGTCTGTCTGCAACTGGCAGTGCCAGCGCTTGAACGACTACCAAGCCACTGCTCAGTGATACTCAATATATATGGAATTAGGCACCAGGCAGTTTTTCAGGGGATAGACAGTGAGTTGGACTGTTTGATGACCCCACTTCGACTGAGAGATACGTGCACTTGTCGTTGTTCCAAATCTGGGCCAGATTTTCTCCCTCTTGTTGTTCCTCAATACCGAACACATAAGACGCAGAAGATATATAAGCACAGACGAGAGACACATATCCAAACGCAAATCTACACCCTCATCCACACACTGCCACACGCAAAGCTAAACGAAAGCAAATATATCCTCTCTTGACACCTACGTACGATACCCAGCCGTCAACTACCTTCATCCACAATATAACCTGAAGTACTCAAGCCTAAATCGACATGACTATACAACAAGTTGATCACTACGTCCGCCAGCCGGGGGCCCCAATGCCAGTCGAACACGTATGTGTTAATTGTAAGTCTGGCATCCGCCGGGCATTGGACTTCTACTGTAGGGGATGCAGCTGGCGCATTACATCGATCGAAACAAGCCGTGCTGGTCTGATGAGATCTCCGACGCCCGAAAAAACGACATCGAGTGGCGAACGCAGCCCCAGCATCCTCTTCTCCGCCACCCCCTATCCATGGTGATGCATACCAACGATGGCCTCGGCCCACGAGATACACCCTTGAATGCGATTATTGGTCCTTCGAGAATTCCGCGTGCACCAAACTTCGGCAATAGGCTACAACCTGCTCGAACAGAGATCCCAGGGGAAGCATTTCGCACTGCGACAGTGGAACCGAACACCATAAGTGATCAATTTCGAACACTTGAGCTCGAGGATTTTGGGGAGGAAGACGATTCCAAGGTGGAAGAGGATGATTCTGAAGACGAGAGTGACTCTGAGATGAACGAAGATTGAGTTATGTAGGCAGATTCGTGTATTAAATTATGCAGTACCAACAGCCGAGATCTCCCATTCAACGTGAAGTAAGAAGCCGAGCAATCACCGCAACTTCATGAGAAGCAATCTCACCAAGTAAGAAAGAAAAAAGAAGAAGAAAGTGAATGATTGAGTACTATTGCAAAATCCCAAAAGTAACCACCGAGAATAAATCGAACTGGGTGACCCTGGCGCTGTAACGCGCCCTTGACGACGACTTGTTAGCGACCCAGAGTTATCCCATTGTCATAAATCCATCAATTGTCAACCCCCGCACGTATCGAAGCAGATCAACATTCCTTCGCAACATCGCCACTTGGCATCGAAACCGAGTACTCGAGTTCCAGTTTTACGGCCTTACCTGCATTCAGCGAGACCTCCCACGAAACCTGTCCGCTCTTCTTAAAAGATGCCATAGCTTTGCCCCAGTCTTTATCCTCTGCAGTCTCACGTCCAGGAGTTCCAGTCGCTTGACGCGGTCCTTCAACAGTCAAGCCTCGAGGACTGAGTAACTCAACTCGGAGGCGATCGTCCTCTGAAACAGGGATTTGATCCAGCACCAGAAGGCCAATGGGCTTTTTGGCTGTTACGCGGGTGTTGTGTACTGTGACAGCGCGAACATAGACAGAGCTGTCTTCTTTGCTGAACACTCCAGTCGTGCTTCTTCGGACATCAGGCTTCGGGTAAATGACTCTGATCGCTGAGTCCACACCCAGACTCAGAGTAAAGACTTCACCGGAGCTACATCGAGGAATTTTGCTCTGCCCCATGAAGCTGCCGTCAAGTGTCAAGCTCGCAGGACCACGGAGTAAAGTAAGTTTACTGTTGTTCTTGAGTTTGGCTTTGAGATAAGCCACTGGCTGATATTTGGCCACAATGGTGTGACTGAACAGAACATTGGTAAACTGCAGGCGAGCAACACGTTGCTTCGAAACGGTGAACTTGGGCACTAGAGTCTTGAGGCCGGGAAGATCGAAGATTGTGGTGAAGCCGGTCTCTTCAACAAGAGAATTTTGGAACTCGAGGGATGGCTGAGCATCCGTCATAGTTGTATCTTCACCTAGAAAGGCATCGAAGTCGAAGTTAGAGGAAAAGTCCATCTGTGACATTCCTGGGAACTGCTGTTGCTGTTGCTGGATCTGTTGGGACTGTGCCACGTGGTTCATAGTCATCATGCCAAGTGACTGGGGCGGTCGCATCTGCGACGCTTGCGCTTGAGCTTGCGCTTGCGCTTGTTGCTGCATCATCGCAGTAGTAGGAATAGGAGGGGGAGGGGGAGGGGGAGGGGGAGGGAAAGTATGAGGAGCAGGTGGAGCCATGGAATCCTGCTCCTGTCTAGCCATCATCAGCCTCTTCTTGTTCTGCTGTTCCAACATCATCAACTGCAACTGATAGTCATTCAGAGCTTGGCCTGGAAGACCAAACATTTCGCGCCTGAAGTTGGGAGGCTGCTGTGGTCCTTGTTTCTTGTTACGCCAAGCGGCCTGTTGCTGAAGTTCCACCACACTTTCAAAGGCACCAGTCTCGCCAGATGGGGACTTCCTGTTACCTAGTTTGATATGCCAGGGTGTGAGACTGGGAATCGACTCGTCAAGGCTCGAAGATGTGGCCTGAGATGTTGACAGTGTGATCTTGCAGTTTTCCCACGTCTCAGATGTTGTGTTATGCAGACCTGCATCGAAGCAAAGCGTACCCGTGGAGTCAACAGTTGACAGTTGGATGTCATAACTGGGAGTCCAGAATGCCGAGTTGGTCACATATGACAACACAAGGTTGCACGAGGATGTCTCTTCCAGGTCTGCAGTCTTACTCCTGGGCCGCTGAACAAGTTCAACCTCGCTGGATACTGATTCCCGGCGAGAAGAAGCCGGCGTGTAGGATGAGCTCACCTCAAGTTGTATGTGTATGGTATAGCAGAAGAGCGGCCAGCAACGTGAGCGCTCGTTGCGAATACGCTCCTTTTCCTTGCGCTTTTCCTCTTGACGCTTTTGGCGCTGTTCCTGCTTTTTCTGGACGGCTTTTTGGATTCTGGCCTTGTTCTTGGCCTCCTTCTTTTGAAACTTGCTTCCAAGCTTGTTCAAGCGCATCTGCTCCTTGGTAACCTTGCTAATGGCCTCCGTGAGTTCTCGCTCCCTCTGCACGCCGACTAGACGTTCTTCAAAAGCTTTTTGGTGCTCTTGCTTATAGGTGTCAAGCATCTCTCTGATGTTAACGCCCTCTCTCTTATCAAGAGACTTGGAGTAAATGTCAAGGACCTTGATACGCTCATCAGCATTGCCAATAATTTCCCTGGCTCGCTGCTGTTCGTCTTTGAGCTCGATGAGTTTCGTCTTGGTTTCCAGCAACTGCCCATAATGTGGTACTTCTGGGGGATCACATTCTTCTTCTTCACCGTCACTGTCTGAATTATCATCATCATCATCATCATCATCGGAGTTTGGAAAGACTTCGTCGAAGAGTTCGCGATTGGGGAGAAATTCAACACTGATGCCCGTAATGGTAGCGGCACCGCTACCTTCAACGGTGACCGAATTTTTATCAATGGTTGGGCTCAGCCCGACAATGGATATCTCGTTGACTCCAGGCTAACTAGGTGAGCATAAGGGGAGATATTGGCCAAGAAAGGCGTACCTTGAGAGGCACATCCTTGATTTCTCTCTTGACCTGTGCTTGGGTGGGGAAGAGGGTAACAGAGCGTGTTCCAATGTCACGAATCTTGTATTCAACCTTATGGCCAACGTCTGTGTCGAAGGCTGGAGCGGCGAGGCCCATCATGATAAAGAGGTCTAGATGGGGTAGCTCTTGGAGGCAGCAACAACGACACTAGAAGGTGTCACGATGATGGATTGGAATGAAGAAGTATTGAGAAGTAGGATAATACGATGAGAGACTGTCTTGGTGAGACAGACAAAGATGTTCGAGGACAGGAGAAGTGAAGGTGAAGAGGAAGAGGAAGAGGGCTGTTGAGCATGCCAAAACAGAGGATAGAGGGGGGAATACGAGATACTTATACTCGGACGACAGATACTGGGGTCCAGGCAGATGGCAGTTCGGAAGTCACTTGTACCGGAACAAGGCAGAAAAAACCAGAGCGGACAATTTGACGTGAGGTTGAAAAGGACAGCGGTCCTGATAGGTGTAGAGCTTGATCACCACTAACACGACGCTGCTGAACATTCAGAGAGCATTCGATGAAGTAAAGGAGCCAATTGACTACAATTGATCTTTTTGAGGAAAAAGATGATATTTATTTCAGCAAGATAAGAAGATACGAAAAATATTTTTAGCAGAGCGGCCGACTCGAATGGATGCTTCATCTCTTAAGGTATACGAAAGAGTCCGGGACGTGAGTAAGAAGGGAAACGGTGCGGGGAGGTGAAGTCAATGGGTCTTCAGGGTCTTCTGGGTTTGTCTGCTGATTTATCTGGGTGCCTTATTCTGATGCCTGAGGCTTCAGGTATCTATCATATCGTTCCCAGGCCACAACATCAGACTCATATCTTCTATAGCATACCTTAGGAGGGTAGGTAGGTATTGTTAGTGAGATCCATGCTTACAGAGTCCTTAATTCGACAATGTTGGCAATTGATTGAGTGTTTTTTATTTATTTACATCGGCAAACATCGCGTCAGATAGACTAGTCATCCAAACGCAACCAGTGAACGAAGGTTGCTTGTATGCTGCTTCGAATAACGAACAGAAACCCAATGTTTGCTTGAGACAAACCATATGATTATTGCAACCGATATTATTGGCTGTGCCGTATGCCGGTTCTCCAGTTCAAACTCTCAATAAGTCAAACGTTCAGATGACATCTTGTGGTTTGCTCACCACCTTACACGGCATCGCAATCAACCTCACCAAACCTGCACTAGACACTGATACAATGCTTCTCAGCGTCTATAAATGCGAGCAATATCGCCAGCATGCTTCGCTTTTGAGGCGCATGCAGAACCATCTTGGATGCTCTCTAAAGCATGGTCAGGCAGTATCGATTTTATGATCACTGTCAACGTCACCAATTGTACCCCAGAGAAAGACGTGCACAAATCCTGCAGAGAATCAACATGGCTGGCGACAGACGTCGTCACTTGAATGGTATCGCTGAGATCGATTATGGCGACGATTTTGAAGATCTTGGTGAGCCATACGACATGGCCTTTAGACGCCGGCCTCCCTTCGTCCCAGGACCCGGCGGAAGACAAAACATCATCATTGTACACTCAAGAGTCGGGCAATTGAGAAGAAGATACAGTGTCGATCAAGAAGTCCTGTTCAATCTCCTACCCAGAGTCCGGGAGGCAACGAGACGCGGAGCGCTGGAATTGAGCACCTACTTCAGTGAGACATACTTGGAAAATCTTCCAGAGGATTTGATAAACGGGGCTCTCGACTTTGTGTTCCAGCACCTTTCAGAATTCACCAGCCTTGAAGCGATGGACATGTTCGGCGTTGCGATACAGGACATTGAGAATGATCCAGTCCGTGGTCGCGCAGTCAACGAATGGGCGGCTCAAATGCATGCTCTGTGCATCGTGCTCAGCAACGGTCGAGGGCTAGGATGTTCAGAGGACCTTCTCGGCAAAATTCTCGACTTTTTCGAATTTCTCATCCAAGAAGTTCACAACATTTTGGGATGGAATCAGGTGGCGGTTCTCTTTGAAGCTTTTGCAAATATCGTTCGGACACATCAAGGGGATCAGGTGCAGCAGATTCGAAGGATCTGGAATAGATTCGACCCAGAGGTTCAGCAGCAGATACTGGCTGACATCAGGAGCGCACTGCCTGTCGAGGGCATGGATGATATGGCGCACCGCATGTATCGAACATTGGGGTACTAGAAGCCACCAGAAGCTAGAGCGAGGGATAAGTAGAGAATCCGGTCATTTTGTGAATAGTTATGCAGTATTGGATTAAATAGTTGCGAATCACATCACATCATGAATTGCATAAGTCATCCCCAGCCTCATGAATTCCATCACCCCACCTCTCGCTCAGCCTATCCCCCCGGCCACTCGGACGTCATGGGCTGGCCTCGTTTATTCATTCTCCGGCCTCTCTCGCTCTCCACCACAATTGTAGCCAGCGCATACATACCTACTCATTCTTTGTCGGTCACCTTGGGCAGAAAATCACTGGTTGGGTGAGCTGTCACGGGCAATTTGTTCGCCTGTTCAATTATACGTCGTAATTTGAGCCAAGACTGAGACCAGAACGCCCATAATGTCTGATACTCGCAAGTCAAACAAGTCACCGCTTCAATCGCTGGATCCTCAGCCCATCCGAACTCCGTCTCCCTCTCGGGACCGTGACCGAGAGCGAGACCGGCGGGATCGTGCTTTTGATCGAGGTCCAGAGAGGGCAAAGTCATATCCAGGTCCCGAATCTCAATATGGACCTCAACCTTATGGACCTCAGAATTACATCCCCCAGGATTATGCCAATCAGAGCTATAACCCTCAGAATTACGACTCACCGGGCTACAACCAGCCTTACAACCCGCAGAACTACCCTCCCGTATCGGGTCCTCAAACTGGCCCAGGCAACCTCCCGATCCGTCCCGCCTCTGAATCATATCTTCCCAACCATGCTGGAGCCATGGCTACTGCATCAACCCAGCAAATGGTCCCCGCCACAGCACCGAGTGACCTGCGAGAGTTACAAGCTCTTAGAGTGAACTGCCAGTTCAATCTGCGCGAGTACATGAGCCTGCAGCGTCAGCGACGAGGTGGCGATTCTGCCGTCTCTGCTTATGAGCTTGAGACCCGGATTCGAAACCAGACCAACATGGTTCTGAATGATCTGAGGATCCTGCAGGGCGAGGTGCGCAGTATCGCGAAAGAAGCCGAGAACCATCGATGGCGAAGATGGATCATCGGAGGAGCTATGTAAGAAACTTACATATCCCACTCGCTTGAACATAAGCAATTGACCAACTTTGATAGTGCTACGTTCATTCCCTTCATCCGCCGCTTCTGGCGACGAAACGACGATGACGAAGATTCTCACTCATCAGCCAACGACACCGAGTACGCCTTCAAGAAGTCAAAGGGTCTTCTCGAGCACATCAAGAACGGTATACTTGGCAAAGGCCGCTTCGCCAAATTGGCCTTCTTTGTATTTGCCGTGCTCGTTGTGTTCTCTAATGAAGTGTCTATTCGAGTAGCCCGGACCGTGCAGAAGAGGCTTAAGAAGCTGACCGCGAGGATTGAGCACGGCGATCCGGATATCGATGAGAAGGACATGAAGCTCCTCGAGGGCTGGCGATGGAGGGTTCTACTGTGGTAAGACGGTGCCACTATGATGACATGAAAGGTACATAATATGAGGATATGATTGAAACGAGCTAAGGTGATTGCATTTACTCAACGGTTCTTATTGTAAGATTGCTATTTATTTATTTATTTATTTGTATGATCTCATGAATTTTCAATGCTCGTTTGACAATATTTGATGGTCCATACCGATCGCAAATGAACTGGGCTGCTTGCTTGTGTTTATAGGAGTCTGTGCCTACAAGTCATCGCTAATTTATGAGACCTCCACTGACATCACTGATCCCTGCAAACTCATCTCCATCAGAGAAGTTGCAGGTATCACAACTTACACCCTTCAAAAGTATCTGAAGAAATCCTTACAGAAGGAACCCTTTATATGATCCGAGAAAACCAGGTCAAACGTCAAAAATGGGCGGCAAACGCAAAGCCTCGCAAGACCTTCGGCGTCAGTCGCTCCCTGTAGACCAAACGTCGACCTCTGAAGGTCCCCCAGAAGATGCGACATCTCGAGATAATCACTATACCGAGCTATATTCAAAAGCGCCAGACTTTCAGCAGCTCGCTCTTCAAGATGCAGATTTTGCGCGATTGTGAATTTTCTATCCTCAAAATACACGAGAATTTCATCTAAAATCATCGCAGGTGGAAGAAACACAAAAATGATTTCTTCAATAATCCGGAATGTGTTATGCAATTGACGAAGTCACTTCTCAAGCTGGACTTTGGACTGAAGCTTGAACTTCCTGACGATCGACTATGCCCTCCTGTAAGTCTTAACTCGTTTCTTGACGCGTCTTACGACCTAACGCGTCCGCAGGTCCTCAACCGACACAACTATCTGATGTGGCTAAAAGGCCTCCTTGACAGCACTTCTTATGAGAAACAGGATAGGAAAATCGTTGGATTAGACATTGGCACTGGCGCAAGTTGCATATATCCGTTGATGGGCTGCACTGAACGTGATTGGGAGTTTATCGCCACTGGTAATACTTTCACCACTCCGTTGGCCAGAGCACCGCTAATCAAAGCAGACATCGATCCAAAAAGCCTCGAGTATGCTCGCAAGAACGTGGCGCTGAACGGCCTCGAGAACAGGATCAAAGTCGTGGAGCGAAAGCCTACCGATGCCCTCATTCCACTCGATGATCTAGATATCAAAAACATTTCTTTCACCATGTCAAATCCACCTTTCTACAAATCCGAAGAAGAGTTACTAGAGAGTGCGAGAAAAAAGTCTCGCCCGCCCTTTACGGCATGCACAGGAGCCAAGGTAGAGATGGTGACCGACGGCGGCGAAGTAGCCTTTGTTGACTGCATGCTCAAAGAGTCGTTCGTCCTTCAAGAACGTGTACAGTGGTATACATCCATGTTCGGATTTCTCACAAGTTTGATCGAGTTTGTGGACAAATTGAGAGAACACAAAATTGACAATTATGCTGTCACAGAGTTTGTTCAGGGCAGTAAAACAAGAAGATGGGCTATTGCATGGAGTTTTGGAAACATGAGACCAGCCCAGTCAGTTGCACGCAGCATCAAGACAGCGGTTTCCAAAAACGTGCTTCCAGAGATCACAGAAGAGAAAGTCGTCGATATACCTCTCCAAGAGAAAATCGGTGACTTTGCAGATTGTTTCCGATCTGAACTTGCGAAGCTAGACTTGATCACCTGCGAATGGGACACTGAGCGCCTGGAAGGTATCGGACGAGCAGCAGGTCGCGTCTGGGCACGAGCTTGGCGTCGAAGAAAGCAGAGAGGGGAGACTGAAGACCAAAAGGTGGTAGATGTAAAGTGCGAGTTTGCTTTCAAGGTTTCCATACGGGTTGGTAAGGATGATGTGGCAGTCCACTGTCGATGGCTTGAAGGCCACGATCCTGTCACTTTCGAGAGTTTCAGGGGATATCTGAAGAAGACGGCGCGATCCATCATTGATCTTCAGAGCACCGAGAACAGAGCATAGTGTTAGAGGGTATTTGGGCTGGGTCTCTACAAATAGGATTGTGCGGAATAGCTGCTAAAAGCACTAATAGTAATCCACAGATGTTATAACTAAGCTCTGACTCTTTGTCGGAAGCCTTCAAGATCAGCCAAAACTTCATCTCTACTCTTCCCGTTTATCAATGCAACTTGAATAATGTCTTGCTCCGAATCTGGCGCCATATTCTCGTTTCTAGGCGGGTTGTTATCCAGATTTGTTGGGAAGGGGTAGCCTTCTCCAATAGCAGCGATAAACATCTGGATTTCGTCACTGAGACCCTGCGCTCTGTATGCAGTAGTCAAGACGTCCCACGTACTCTCCACAAGTGGCAAAGCGTTAATTGTTTCCATCGGTTTACCAAATGCACTGCTGATCTGGACGAGGTTGACAAGGCGATTGATGTCCATAGACTTATTCTCGCCTGCTGCATGGAAAAGAGCAGGGTTGAACCATAAACCGTCACCCTTTTTTAACGGAAGTGAGATATAATTGTCCAGAAAGAACTCGTCAAACTCAGCAAGACGATACGCCATGTAGCCAGGCGCAAATGCCTGACTGAACGGCAAAAGTCTCGTTGGACCGCTCTCGAGAGGTACGTCAACATGTGCTATAGCACCTTGCAAGGTCAAGCATTGACTTGCAACTTGCATTGCCCTGGGATACTTTCCACAAGTCTCAGCAGACATGAAACCCAGGTGATAATCGCGGTGGGAAACTTGAGGCTGCCCTCCAGGCCGGACGTTGTTGACTTGAGTAGTGATACGATACCCTGGACCAAGCCATGAAGAGAAGATGAGGTCGAGGTAGGGATTCGAAAAGTAGTTGAAGAAGGAGTCTGGGTCTTGGAGACCATGTTTACTGAACGAGTTCCAAATCCGATCGTTTTTACCAGCACTTGCAAAGTGATCGCCTGCTGTTTTGGTACCCTGGCTCTCCTTTTTGATGATATCATTGAAGGCAGCTGTTGACTTGTTGACCACATCCAAGTTGGTGTAAAGACCAGCCGTGACAAAAACACCCGGGCCATACAGAAGGACTTTGTACCATTCGTCTTGGAGAGCGGACTTTTGGTTTTTGGTGAGAGTTGAAAAGTCGGAAAGGTTGTAAACAGGTACGTTCTCCTTGATATCTGCAGCTAGGGGGTAATCTTCTTTGGTGGCTTTCTGAGAGCAAATTTTCCGAAAGGCATCAAGAGAAGGAGGCGGAGATATGTTGAAAAGACGGCTGTGTCCATGTTCCGCCATGATGCCATTGACTGTATTTCCGTTGGTGGTCATTTTGTAAAGGTGTTTTCGTCGTGGTACATAGACACTTTGGAGCAGAGCTAATTCAAGATGTGGTGAGGAACTCTCGTCAAGAAATACCTTTTGGTCGGGGAGAAAACCGAACGAAAACAACACCGATTTTGCCTATTGACGATTCAAACGTACGTCAGAACATTAGATGTTCTTTTCAGGCGAACTGATGATAGGATACTCCTGTAACACAAACAAGCTTGTGGTTCAAGAGGTCATGAGTGGCCGAATAATTTAACCGAATAATTCAAGCATGGGGAAGAGCCAATCAGTGTAAATAGAACCAACGAGCTATAGTAGATGCATGCATGCATGTTTGGAGATCGCAAATGAGGGGATAACATGTCACTTTCCAGCCTAGCCAGGAATAATCAGAATAGATATCGGGTTCAACAAACTCGTACTAAGATGCTTGTGTCGATGACAGGAGATGAGGTGGTTACGAGAGGCACCCCGTTTCAACCAGTAGGTACACAGTTGGCTTTAGGATGAGTGAGCAATTTTGAACAGCGGCTGTCACAACGAAGACTGATGTTTTACGCTCTCTATTTTAGAAATCATGCTTTTAATCTCGGTCGTTATTCTGTGAGGCTTTCCCACTCGTCATTATCATGCTAAATAAAACAAATCCCTTTTTGCTCGCTCATATGCTTTTATGCAACTCCAACTCTAATTGTTGAGGTTGCCAATGGTAATAGACTTGATGTTTTGGTACTCAGCCATACCGTAAAGACTGCCCTCCTTTCCGTAACCGCTCTCCTTGACACCACCAAAAGGTGCCTCAGCAGCACTGATCTTGCCTGTGTTGGCACCAACCATACCAACTTGCAACTTGTGGGCAACGCGCATAACACGGCTGATGTCCTTGGAGAAGAAGTATCCAGCGAGACCGAACTCGGTGTCGTTGGCCAGACGAATGGCATCCTCCTCAGTCTCGAACTCAAAGACTGGGGCAAGGGGACCGAATGTCTCGTCCTTGGCGACGGCCATTTCTTGTGTGACGCCAGTGAGGACGGTGGGCTGGTGGAAGAATCCGGGGCTGTCGGGGGTGCTGCCGCCGGTGGCGATCTTGGCGCCCTTGGATGTGGCATCGGCAATGTGCTCCTTGACCTTGTCGACGGCAGATTTGTTGACGAGGGGACCTTGTGTGGTGGACTTGTCGAGACCACCACCCATCTTCAAAGCGTTGACCTTCTCGACAAGCTTGGCAGTAAACTCCTTGGCGACACTCTTCTGGACGTAGAGTCGGTTGGCGCTGAAGCTACGTTAGTTACGTCTTTTCTACAAGTAGAATGCTTCGACTTACCAGACACAAGTTTGGCCAGAGCATCGGAACTTGCAGAACATGGCGCCCTCGGCAGCGAGGTCAAGATCAGCATCCTCAAAGACAATAAAAGGGGCGTTTCCACCAAGCTCTAGGCTGACCTTCTTCAAGGTACCAGTAGCAAGCTTGGCAAGGTACTTTCCAACGCCAGTAGAACCAGTGAAAGAGATCTTCTTCACGAGAGGGTTTGTGCACAACTCAGTAGCAGCCTGACGGTCGCGAGTGGGAAGAACCTGGATGGTCGCAGGAGGGAGACCGGCCTCAATGGCGAGCTTGGTAAAAGCAAGGGCGGAGTAGGGAGTCTCGGAGGGGGGCTTGATGACGACGGAGCATCCGGCAGCCAGAGCGGGAGCGATCTTGCGAGTGATCATGGCGGCGGGGAAGTTCCAGGGTGTGATGATACCACAAACACCGACAGGCTCGCGGATGGTCATGAGGGTGGTGTGAGGAGAGGATGAGGGGATGGTGACACCATAGGATCGAGTGGCCTCCTCAGCGAACCAGGAGATGAAGCTGGCAGAATAGATAACCTCGCCCAGTGCCTCGGCGTACGTTTTCCCGTTCTCAAGCGAGAGGATCTTGGCAACTAGAGGCCATGTTAGTGTGAAATTGGAAACATTTAAAGGACACAACATACGGTCCTCCTGGTGAGAGAGAACCAGGTCATACCACTTCCTCAGAAGGGCACCACGGCTGGCACCAGTTGTGCTATCAAAGTACTTTGTCTGGGCAGCATCGGCGCTCTTGATGGCAGTCTGGAAATCCTCGAGCGTACAGTTGGCAACTTGGCCGAGGACGGTGGCAGTGGAGGGCTCTGAGGTTCCGATTAGCTTCTGGACGATTGGTACTCATGATGACGATATCACGGACCGAAAACATCGAACTTGTCCTCCTTGGCGACCCATTTTCCATCGATGAAAGCATCCTGGATGAAAAGGCTCTTGTCCTTCAGCTGTTGAGTTCAGTTCAGTGTTAGCATCATGAATCTCAGCGAGAGGTGCTTCATGACTGAGGGGCACATACGCCAGCAATGACCTCCTTGTGGTAGCTCTCAGCCATTATGTCGGTGTATTGTGAATTTGACGATGAAAACTTGGCTCAAGTTAAAGAGAGGAAAAGGTCGAAGAATGGGAAGAGAAAGACGTTGAGGGATGAGGGCCGAGCTACAAAAAGGTTCCGGCCTAGGTCTAAGTAAATAAAAACGAAAAGATCCACGAGAGCTCCTACAAACGTCACATGGTTGCGCTAGACCTTTGTAACCCCACCGGCCGAGCGTGCCTCAACCGTTGCATTATGTCCGTATATAGTGAAGTATTGCTTCAATTGAAACCAGTCATGTCAAAGAACCTCCCAATTCCGGTTCCAGTTGGGGTCACGGAGCTGCGAGGTCGGGGATGTGGAGGGGAGGGCCACTGTAAATTAAGCGTTTCCTCACTGAAAATACCTTCTGGAGGAACCGGTAAAGACCGGGACCGGGCCGGGGTTGACTTACGGCTCCGGTAGTTGGAGATCGGGAATTAGGATCCGGCCCCGGGAACCGAGGTGTTCATGGCCATGTAAGTAAAGAACTCGTGCATTTCTATTACTCTTTATGGGTTGGTACATAGTATGCCGAGGTGGTTGTCAATTCGATTGGCTTCTGGGGCGAGTTTCTGGGGAAAACAGTGGAGATGGCTTCTATTCCCATCATGAGAAGCCTAGAAATATTCCAAAGGCAGTTGGACTTCTCATGATGATGTTCCGGCATGGTTTGTCAGCATTTGTATAGAGAATTCCTGTACCGAAGGAGCCTGATGATGCCACGGAGCCGAAGTGGACTTGGAGGTGTTTCATAGGCCTCATCATAGTACTAGTACTACACTGGAGCTCTTGGTTCGGTTGCTTGACCGGGCCGTGCTGGTAGGTTTGATGAACTAGGCGGCTAGAATTCCAAGAAAAGACTTGGATCTCGGATCATTTTGAAGGAAGGATGTGTTGCACTACATAGTATCATTACTTTTGCCGAGTATCTGAGAGAATAAAGAGAAGATTTTGTGTCCAGAGCTGGTGAACAGTCCCCCAAGGTAAACCCACTTCCCCATTGGATCCCCGCCACCATGATGGACCGTGATGCTCTATTCTTCGCCCACCTTACTCCGACAGATTCCGGCAACCAAATGCGATACTCCATTACTAGCCATCGCGCGAAACTTCTTGATTAGGAAAGGCTGATACACCTTCTTCCACAATCTGGGGAAATCACATTTATCAATCTAAGCATCCTTGCTTGACTTGACCCTTCAGCGTGGGCGCGTAAGACGACAGTTACTTACTGCCAAGTTCGTTCCAAGTTATCCTCAGCTTGTATAATCATATACACCCTA